ACATGGTGATTTGGTTTTCCTTCTCCACCTAGTACCCTCCAAATCAAAGAAAGCATATGTGGAAAATTCAATACAAATATTTCCATGCAAAAATATTATTTTCTGTGCAGAAAATGATATAGTCAAGGACTTTTTCTATGTAAAATCTCTATGTGCTGTCTTTGCAAAGAAAACAGTATTTTCAGCACAGATAGCAACAACCTCTAAAGATTCTTGTCCAGGATTTTTATCATCAGGGTGTTGTTGTTTTTTAAAAAAATATTGCAAATATTTTTTCCTCCCTAGCTTAAATTAACAAGATTGGCCCATCCCTTCCCTATGTGGCTGAATTTTCATGCAATTCAATTTCCTAGCAGCAACAAACATGCCTTAGGGGATAACATATGAAGATATCTAAACAGATAAATCAAAAATTAGTAGAACTATTTCTATTTTCAAAAATACCAATGAGAATGTGAAGTAAATTAGTAATGACCTGTAAATAAGGAACTCCTACATGGACCTCACTGCTCTGCAGTGAGCTGCTTGAATTCCATGATTATTTCATCAGATGGAATTTACTACCAATGATACTGATCATAGACTCCAACGACTGGACCAAGCAGTGTTCAATTCCAATGGAAAAAAAAAACAATGGCATACTTAGTAATGCTCCCTTTAAGACATGAACAGGGAACATGATGCCTGCAGGCAGAATGTGGTCCTGAGGCCTTTTTTGCACTCCCAAATAATGGTGAGTTCAGCATGATACTTCTTTAACCATCCCACCCAAGTCTGTGCGGGAAATACACACCTTGTTTTAGAGAGAGAAAAAACACTTCTGGAACTTCCTGGAAATGCATTTTTGTGTAAAATTTCCCTACATGCTTTTTTCATTTTAAGTATGAAAGTTATTTCCAAGTAATGAAAGGGGAAAAAACATTATTCTGGTTACCACTGCATTGCTAAATTTCTGCAGCAGTAGGTATGTATGCAAGTCACCCTTAAAGGAGCAGGGGCAAAATTGATACATAGCCCTGTCATAGTTGCTGATCTTTGTTTAGGATATGCATTACTGAAACTGGGACATCATGAGAAGCCCTTAGTGAAGAGAGCCACACACCTGAACACTACAATAAGCTGTACCTCAGGGAAGAAGCTCTGGTGGTGAGAGTTTTGAATACTGCTGCTCATCTAAGCTGCTCCTGACAGCATGCCTGACTACATAGGCAGAAGCCCTAACAGCTGGAAATGTCAACACCAGGACTCAAATGCGAAAGGTCTGTAAAACAAACGGCCTTAAAATGTTATGAAGCAGAATTCGCTGAACAGCTGCCTCCATCTGAGGCTCTTTCACACTGTACAGTTGCAATACTATGATTCTGCTTTATTTACCATGGCTACCTCCTATGGCAGGGGTAGGCAACCTTTTGGAGACCTGGGCCAGTCCCCCGAAGTCCAGGTCGCTGCTGGGCCGAGGGTGGGGGGGGTTGGCAGTGCACGCGCTCACGCGCATGCACACACCCTCCAACGCCGTGTGCGCTGCTGCCACCATGGCTGCGACGCGTTCGTGCATGCGCAGGAGTACTGCGCATGCGCAAACGAGTCACGGCTGCCATTTTGGAAAACAAAATGGCGGCCACGGCGCGCGCAACCGCACAGATGGCAAAACATGCAGTGGCAGGGGTCTGCCTGGGCTGGTAAGTCCGGTGACCTGGGCCGGAACCGGCCCGGGGGCCGTAAGTTGCCGGCCCCTGTCCTATGGCATCCTGGGGTTTGTAGCTTGGTGAGGCACCAGGGGAACAACCTGTCTGAGAAATGCCCCTTTCTAAGCTACCAATCCCAGGATTCCATAGAACCAAATTATGGAAGGTAAAGTGGGATCATAGCACTATAATTGTGTAATCTGGAAGGGCTCCTGGACTCTATGTTCTTATATTCCCCTCTGTTACTGTATTTGTATATGCTCTTGTATTCCCCTCTGGAAAAGGTATTGCAATAAAAAAAGAAGGATCTGGTGATTTGTTGTTCATGTGTGCCTTCAAGTCATTTCTGAGTTATGGTAACTCTTAAGGTGAAGCTATCATGGAGTGTTTCTTTTCTTTTCTTTTTGCAAGATTTGTTCAGAGGAGGTTTGCCATTGCCTTCCCCTGTGGCTGAGACTGTGACTCACCCAAGATCACCCACCCAGTAGGTTTCATGGCCAAGCAGGGAACTGGACCCT